CGCATCAAGGAACATGAAAGGCACTGCAGACTACTTCAACCAGAGAAGTCAGCCATAGCAGAGCACCTGATGAACCAGCCTGGACACAGCATATTGTTTGAGAACACAGAAATGCTGGACCACACCAACAACCACCATGTCAGACTACACAGAGAAGCCATTGAAATCCACAAGCATGTGGACAATTTCAACAGAAAGGAAGAGACCATGAAAATGAACAAAATCTGGCTACCAGTATTAAAAAACTCTAAAATTATAACAGCTAAACAACAGAGAGGAAAAAACCAGGCACAGATTAACACCTCTCAGCAACAGATTTTCCCAGGCTCAGGCAGGCCTTCAAATGCTAATGAAGGTGATCAGCTAAACATTCACACCTAACTGCAGCAGGGAAGAGCTCCTTGCCCCACCCCAGCCATTCCACAGATATATAAGCCCATTTTTCCTACTTCCAACAGACCTTCTCAACCTCTGAGGATGCTTGCCATAGATGCAGGCGAAACGTCAGGAGAAATGCCTCTAGAACATGGCTCTATAGCCCGAAAAAACCCACAAGAACCTAGTAAACTGAAATATTTTCAAATGTGTGAAAACACCTAAAACTCCCATATACAGCCACAAAACCTCAAATACCTCTCTCTTCACTAGTCTTTCTCAAAATGAATCATCCCTTTTTGTCACCATTTTGGGTAGCAACCTGATGATAAAGGAGATATTATGGTGTATTGGGGATGCATGAGGCCCATGGGGCATATGACCAGTATTTGGGTATTGATATCATTAATGTATGTTTGCATCCTGAACAGTTATATCCACCACACCAAAATTCGCTTTGCCTTTTTGATGCTCCTTTCCCTTTGTGTATATTGTTCTCTAGTGTGCGTTCCAAAATAGAATGCCAAGAGATTGGACAGTTCTCCAGGAATGATTTATTTATTGTTTATTATGTGAGGACAATGAGATGGAAGACCAAATTTTAAACCTTTTTAGAATAAACCTTCAGAGACGAGATCTTAAAGACTTCCTGAGATACTATATTGAAAAGTCTGCACAATTTTTCATCTCTAAATTCCGTTTCCCCGTGCTGCCCCCTCATTCTGGTAACTATAGCCTTCAGCTATGCCTGCCAGTTTAATAAACAAATATTTCTTTGTCCTGACTTTTTAGTAGGATAAATATTCTGTTAAGTATCTAAGTCAGAGTTTAGCATTGCCCTAGAGACAGAGTAAATTGGATCTGGAATTATCTGGGATGCTTTAAACAGATTTCCTTCCAACTCTGAACCCAGGGGGTGAGTGTGAAGATTGAAATAAATGCAGAAGGTCTCCAAGAAAACAATAATGAAGTTCTGGAGAATGAACTGAAAGTGAAATCTGACTCAGAACAATTATGCTGGATCAAATTAGAGGGCGACCTAATGCTATACTCTGAAGGTCATTTCACACAGCACATAAAAATGTGCAAGTCAAACATGTAACGTTGCGGTGTTATGAACCAGGAGTGGGCAAAGTATGGTATTGGGGGTTCATGCAGACCTTGGGATCCCTAAGTATGGCTCATTATTTTGGAACAATTCTTTGCCCCCGAAAGTGCATAAAAGGGCAACAGTCTGCTCCCCTAACCTCCAGCTTTCCTCCCCCAAACAGACAACTACACCCAAATTGACCAAAATGGCAACCAGAAGTGATATCATGTCACTTTGGGTGAATTGAAAAGTGCTGCTGATGCCTACCAGGTGAACATGGGGGGGGGGGGGAATGCCCCCTGCCCTGTTTGCAGTTGCCCACCTCTATTGTTATTTAATAATACATTCAGTTCTTGTGTGATATAAGTCTGACTTTTAGTTATTTTTAATGGGATGTGTACTCACTGAAAGGTGAAAGAGAAATGTCATAAGGTTCAAATGTTGGCTTGTGTCCTGCCTTATTCATGGCTGTGAGTTGCAGAGCAGTGAGTGTTTTGTATTACAGGCCTTCAGCTTCCAGTATTTGGATCTTTAACATGTAACTAAAATTAAATTTAAGTTGTTTTTTTTACAAACACATAAGCAAAACAATATATTTTTACAAAATGTTAGCTAACTACTTTGGGGAACATTGGAACAATAACTGTCTAATTGCTTTTTGGAGAATAACTTTCCAGGCTGTGCCATGAATGCCTAAAGCAACGGCATGTGGAATGTACTGTGGAACTTTCTGATGAATGCCATGTCTGTGGAAAGCCCAGCTTTTTCAGAATTGAAATATAGTACTGGTCTCTATGTTACTTCCATAATATTAGTCAGTAGTGTCCAGGTAGTATAACTCGAAATGCAGATGGCTTGCTATTTAAACAAATAAGGTTTAACGTCCTCTTGAAAACTTGATGGAGAATAAGGTCTCACCATTATCATATCAGAAAATTGCTGCTACTGCCTCTGCATCATGATCCCTTTTCAGAAGATGCAACTCCTATTCATGCAGTAAAGTTGTGGCTGTTTCGTTGTGTGAAACCAGTTATGATATGATCTACCATGGAATCACTTTCCCTCAGTAGGACTTTCACTTAATACTGAATCACTTAATATGAGATTGGGCAAGTTGTGAGATCAACTTAATATTTCAACTCCTGTATGGAGTTCCCAAGCTTTCTGTTGTATACAGGAAGTCCTGGATTTTAAAGACAGAAGAGTTGCTCTGTATCAGTATTATACAAGACCACCTAGATTGGCAAGTTGGGTGGTAAGCGGGTATAGCAGATTGCAGGTGTGGTCACAGTAGACAGATCCCCAGCATTTGATATACAGGAATGGACTCATATTAGATGCCAAATGCTTGATTGGCAGTTATAAAAACATAGGAGATCATGAAGTTTTTAATAAGTACAGTACACAAATAAATGTAGATGGTTGAACTAAACCATGTCCATAAATACAAATGGCTTGAGCTCACATATTAAGAGGCATAAACTATATGAACGTCTAAAAGATAATCAGGTAGATATATTTCTCCTGCAGGAGACACATAAAAGAAGGGATAGGATCAGCATTTGGTATGCAGGAATGGACTCATATTAGATGCCAAATGCTTGATGGGCAGAGGGGACTGCCACTTTGTGCAAACATGGCTGGAGCTTCTCTGCCCAGTGGCTGCTCTTCCTTTCTCAGTTAATGCTGTCTTGTCATTGTGAAATTTTATGGGTTGGAGCGTCCACATTATTAGAGATCTTGAAGGAGGTCATTAATCTTATAACAGGCCCTTTTCTTATGAGACTTGAGGAAGGTGCAAGCTTTATATAAGCCTGACTGATGTGTCACTGGGTCATTTTTTTACTGGCTTTCAAAGCAGGTACGAAAAAGTCAAGATTCAATTAGGGACCACTTCAAGAAGACTGATTAAGTTCATTACTTTCATTTATATTTGGGTAGCTTTATATTTATTTAGGGATGGATCATGGATTAGCAATTGGCAGATTCAAACTACAGGGCTGGGGAAAAGGAATATTTTCTCTTAAGTCTAAGATAAATCAAGGCAACAATTCAAAACTAATCAATTTCACTGAGCAAATTTATTTTACGGTGATGAAATGCTGATAAGTAACTTGATTATAAGGGGTAGGAATCCTACTTAGAAAGAAAACACCACTGAGACCAACTGAAATCTTACTTCGTGCAGATCCATATTTTTCTGATTGGAATGTTTACACCAGAAAAGGCAGACAATTTCATTCTGTTATTACTTAGAGAATAACATTCTTGTGGCTGTTAACCTTCAAGATGAATCTGTTTGAATGGGCAGACCTATATTTTTGCAGATTTCTATTTATCTAGGAGTGGATTGTACATAGAGGCAAAGCTGAAAGAGAAGGATGGAAATATAGAATCATTTTATTTGGTCCGGGTTGAGCATCCCTTATCTGGAACTTGAAATCCAAAGTCTTCAAAATCCTAAACTGTCCTCATGGATGGGTGAATGCTTCAGTGTACACAAGCTTTATTCTATGCACATAATTATTTAAAATATTGTATAAATTATTTTTAGGTTATGTGTATAAAGGTTATGTGTATAAATTTTCAGGATAAAGTATATAAAAACATAAATGAATTTCATGTTTAGACATGTGTTCCATCTTCAAGATAATTTATTATGTACACATGTTCAAATAAAGGTATTCTAAAATCTGGGGAAAATCCCAAACCTTTCTGGTTCCAAACATTTGAGAAAAGTGAGCATCAACCTGTTTCAGCACAACCTCGGTACTTTCCAACTTTGACCACACACTGCTCTGTATCGTGCATTTAGACTGCCCTTTATTACCAATTTGAAAACCTGGCAGTCCTGATCTCATCCGTCTTAACCACTCACTGATGAAAGATAAAGACAATTGCAGTCCATACTATCTGGATAGTCACAGGTTGCGACCCCAGTGTAATAGAAGAAGTGAGTAAATAATTCTTCCTCCACATGAAAAGGGCTGTGGATAGGAATGATGGAGATGAGTGGGATGGAGGATTTTTATTTCTTTGGACTGTAGAACACATTTCTGCCATTGGGTTTAACTTTTGCAAATTTGATTGTCCACAAATTACTGCATGACCGTATTTATACAAATTGCAGATGCCATTTATAACATTTATGTTACTTCCCTAGACACCTAGACATTCTCAGACCTCCAGCCAATTCTATGGTCAACCTCTGATGGAATTACACTGGAAGACCTAAATATGCCTTGAGAGAACACTTCTCTAGGCATCTCTAGGTCTTCCAGCACAATTCTATGGTCAACTTCCAGCTGAAGTCCCCCCCCCCTTTTTTTTCTGGGATCTCTCCAAAATTTTGCAGAAGTGGAGGACTGACTGTCTACAGTTGCCCAACTGAATGGTACATGTGAGCCACCCCTTTCTACCCATTTCCTCCTTGTCAATTAAGTAAGTCAATTATTGCTTGTCCATGTTGTAGGATGCTGCTTTGTGAGGTTATACCTTGAATTGAATATATACATCTCTTTTCTATTCATTTCAGAGGAAGCTCACCAGTGTGGGAAAGGTCTCCTTATCCACTGCCAGGCTGGTGTGTCCCGCTCTGCCACCATAGTCATTGCTTACCTTATGAAGCACACGCGGATGACCATGACTGATGCCTATAAGTTTGTCAAAGGCAAGCGACCAATCATTTCACCTAATCTTAATTTCATGGGGCAGTTATTAGAGTTTGAAGAAGATCTAAACAACGGAGTTACACCCCGAATCCTTACGCCAAAGCTCATTGGGGTTGAGACTGTCGTGTGACAATAAAGAAGCATGGGAGAGACGATCATATTTTTGACACAAAGTGAGAGGGTTGGGTGGTTGTTTTTTTAAGTTTTATTGGGGAAGGTTTGTTTTAAGAGATACTCTGGACAGCAACCTTTTGAAGAAGAGGTTCTAAAAATAGAAGGACTTCACAAATGTTGGAGTGAATGCTGTTGCAAGTCCATTTTTTGGGGAAAAAATGGAAGAAGAGAGGTGCTTTAAAAGAAAAGCAGTTTTTGAAATCTACTTGCGTGTGAGAGAGAAAAAAAAGGACACTATATATTTTTATTTCCTTTTTTGTGATTCAGCTACTTGTAGAGATTATGACTAAGTAGTCTGTGCGGGTTCATAGACCGATAACAGTTATGTTTAAAAAATAAATAAAACACAACCAGCCAAAATAAAAGCAAAAAGACAACAAAATCCATGGGCCTTGAGACTGCAAAGGCTTTGCTAAAGAAAATCTAAGCAAAATGCTTGCTGGTGCAAAGAAGGTCAGAGCAGCTTAAACTATCTGCAGATCACTTTCTCACCCTCCTGACTAGATAAAATATTTTTATTTGCTGTGTTTCATCTTCCGGTACTGTTTTTTCTATTTGGGGTGAGGGTGGGGCTGGACTATTTTATGCCATATGCCTTTACTGGCTTCTTGTGCAATAATAGTTTTGGGGGGTGGGAAGAGTTCTTTATTTTGAGTGTTCAAACCAGTTTCAGCTGGCTGCCCAATAATAATAATAATTCAAAACTAGCGCAAAGGTGGCTGGCTTGATTTAGAACTAGAAATACAACAAAAGCAATTATTTTTCCCTTTTTGGATTCTGGTAACAGTGCCATAAATCTTGTTACATGTGTATATCAGAATGTACAAAGATTAAAAAAGAAGAAGCAAAATTTATTTAAAATATTTTTTTTCGCACAAAATACTGGTGTGTTTCTGTTCATGTAAAAAGAGTTGATTATAAAATGAAAACTGTTTTAGAAAATGTGTGTGTGTCCATCCTTTTTCTTATTTCTTTAATGGAAATTACTGACTAATTATAGTCTTCATATGCCCTATGTAGAGATAGGCCTGAGGAGCTCAATGGCATCAGAGTAGCTCCTTTCATCTAGATACTCCAGTGTCCCAGTTTAGACACAACTATCTTGGTTCCATTTAGTCATGATTTATCAAACCAAAAGCAAGCATTATTCTACCACATGTTTTCTCCTCCCTTTCTCTTTCATACTAGGGACTCTTTCACACTACATGGTTATAGCATTATGATTCCACTTTTAACTGCCATGGCTGCATTCTAGAGAATCTTGGAGTTTGTAGTGAGGCAATTCTTTGTGGCCACAGATTCTAGACACCTCTTCTTAGATGACAAATTACAAGGTTCCATTGGATAGAACTGTGCAAGTAATATGGAATCATGACACTATCATCGTATAGTGTGAAATCACCCCCATTTCAATACTTCTGGAGCTTTTTAAAGTACCATTTCATTGTTCAAATATAACAGAAAACTATGGTTTGAAAAAGACCAGAGATATTGAAGAGGGGGAGGGGGGGAGGGGATAGAATTGGTATGGAGACAATTCTAGTGAAAATCCAGTTGTTAGTGCCAGCTTGAATGGACCAGTTGTTTCAATTGAACATACATAACTACTTACTCAGAGAATTCCCACTGTTTCGTTGGAACACCTCTAGCTGTGACTAGTTATATGATTCAATATGTGGTCTGATAAAGCTTGACCTCATTAGATAAAGATCAGTCTGTCTGTATTGGACCTATCTATCTTGGGTAACTGGTTAGTATATATGCAGGATTAGCCTGCTAGAAGCATTTATATCTGGACTACGACACTACTGGTGTCACATATCTGGCCAGTTGCACATAAGAGCACTTAAACAAACTGGCAGATGTATAGTGCATAGGAGAGTGCTTTGCTCATGGTTCTCACCAGAGGTCCTGTCATGCTACATTTTCAATATCCTGTAGAATTCTGGGCTTTGTAGTATGGCGAGGCACTAATACTCTCTGACTAAGATACTCCCTATACTATAAATTCCACAATTCCTTAGGATGGGTTGTTGTAGATTTTTCGGGCTGTATGGCCATGTTCTAGAACATGGCCATACAGCCCGAAAAACCTACAACAACCCAGTGATTCCGGCCATGAAAGTCTTCAATATGTTCCTTAGGATGTTGTTGTGGCAGTTAAAGTGGAACCATAGTGCTATAATTGTGAAGTGGGCCATTCTATTTTGTCCTATACACATTTGTATTGTATTTCTGGATGATGGATAAACTTGTGCCCTTCTTCTGTAGCTAACATTTACTTCACAGTTTGTATACTCAAACACTTCCAAATAGCTGCTTTTTGGTTATGTTCACATGAAAACAAAACAGTTTCACATAGGTCTTTTTTGCAGAGTGTATTCACCTATCTCTCACACTTTTCAAAGTGCACGTAGTGTCCTGAGTGATGTAGTCCGTATAGTGTCCAAACATCACAACAATACCATTTTTGGAGTATAGTTTTTCATATTTCCATTTCAATGTTAAATCGTGAGCTGATGGTATGAGGAGTTATGCAGGCTTGCTGTTAGCCAACTGCTTGCTACCCAGTTGCAGTTTCACACACTTGCAGCATTTAATGTATTAAACAGAACAAAAGTTTGCTTAATTTGCAAGACATCTAACTGGAGTCTTGTGTGATGTAGTGGTTTGAGTGCTGAACTAGCACTTTGAGAAGCCCATTTGACCATGGAAATCCCAAGGATGTACCTGGGGCAAGTTAAAATCTCTTAAGCCTCAGGCAAAGATAATGGCAAAACCACTCTGAACAAATTTTGTGAATAAAATGCTGTGATAGGTTCATATTAAGGCCATAAGTAAGAAATGAAGGCATAGAACAGCAACTAATTGGAGAGGCAATAGTAAAAAATATAAAATGGAACTGTCTTGCAATTTGGTTAGAACCTGTTCTTAAGAAAAGCACTGCAGATTCTCGCTTCCTGGATTCCCTGGTGCTTATTTATTGTTAAGCATGTTAGTGTCCATATTGAAATGGTACCTATAAGTGTTTCCTTTGAAAAACGGCCTCTGACCCCTAAGTCCTTTCACTTTTTATATAGTATTGGTGTTTGCCTTAACCTACCTACCAATCATGGTTCTTTTAAAGAAAAAAAACGATCAAAGTCATGCCAATGTGAAATCCACATACACTTAGCATTTGTCACTGTTTTCCCCCCATGTATATGCACTAGCCTTTTTCAACACCTTTTTGAAGTTCCTGTCTTATACTGTACTCTTGCCATTAGGCAGTCCACATTTTTGGGCACAATTAACTGTAAAGCTCCACTGAAATGAAGGGAAACAGCACAACAATGTTCTTTTTAATGGTGCATTTGCAGGAGAACATCCTGTTGAATTGTGCCTTTGATTAATATGGATTTGGAATCAATAAAGGAAAGCTGGAAACGACTGCAGGAGCATCATAGCTCTCGGAAGGGTGTTGTCTTTTCCTTTCAGATCAAAATCTATATAGACCGAACAAAATACAGTAAGGTGTATCAAAAGAAATTATGTATATTGATCCCAGAGATATGTATATTTCTGTGTACTTTTGCCAAACAATGTTATTACAATACAATATAGATATTTTCTTGAAAGTTTATGCCTTTTATTAAACTATTTTTCTACAATAATTGATTATTATTCTGGTGCTTTTTTTGGAACAGTTGCTGTCTTGTTTTTCCTGTATTTCCTCCCTCTTCTTTAATTGCTTTTCCCATTATAGTGTGTCCAGGTTCCTCATTTATATGATAGACAGCTGTTTAACAGAGAACATTCTTCTAAAGAGGGAACATTTACACAGTCTGCTTCATTTCTAGGAATGCTCCTATAATTCTTTTTACCCAAATTTTTCCTGGATGGATGGTATTCAGTCTCACCCAGAATCATACCTTTGCTGGAAAAGAATTGATAATGTTGGAAAACAAGTTGCAGATTTGTATGAGGAACTTATAGCTCTTTAGATGTAGTTGGATTAGAGCTCCCCTTAGTCCTGACCAAAAAGGGCAGGAAAGATGTGAGTTGTAGTGAGCAACATCTAAAGGGCCACACTTTCACCGCCCCTTCTTTATGTGTCCATGTTTATATACACATCAATGTGTTTTTACTACAGAGGAAGAAAACATGTTTCAGGAAGTCAGCAAATAGGTTTAAATCACAGCTTCTGAAAGGTACTTTTGGGGAGCTCTAGGATTCTTTGAGTGGTAACCCCCTGCCCCAAATGTTATCAAATTACATGCCTAACAACTGGTGGTTATAGGCACATAGAGAAGGGTTTTTGAATCAGATTTGTACTAAGGGGCAATATCATATGGAGGACAGAGGTACTGTAGCTGCCTAAACTCTGTAGGATTTTTAAATGCACCTGAATGAAAAGCCTTTCAATTGTGAGGTGATATAACTTCTCAGAACAAGATTGGCCAACTTGGGTCCCAGTCTGGACATCTGGGGTTTCTGAGATGGTTATATCCCCTTTTTCTTTGATACTGTCCTTTGATGGTCTCGCATCTACAGTATGGGTCTCTCTGCCCATTATGAAAAGGTTGAAATGCCTCTACTAAGACTCATTTCTGGGCACATGCTGATATTGAGGTCCTGCACTTTTGCTTTTGGAATGCAATCCATGAGAACCTCTTTGAAAATGAGTGCAAAATGATTCAGTCATGGTAGTTAATGTAGAACTGCAGTGCTATAACTGTGTAGTGTGAAAAAGCCCTAGGTAGTGGCATGTGTTAGGTTTTGTAGTCACAGTAAACCTCCCCCCCCACACACACACACACACTCCCCAAAACTTCTCCTGAGTGTATATCCCAAAGCAGGGATGGGGAACATGAGGCCCTCTTGATATTGTTGACTGCCTGGCCCTAGCTAGATCTGATGAGAGCTGAAGCTCGTCATCACTTGGAGAAGATATATGGACGGCCTGGATAACCTTTCAAACCCATCCATATGTCCTTAACGAAGTCCATAGAAGGCCCCTGTGTTCCCTCACTTGCCAACTTTCTCCATAATGACAAAGGACCATTGGTGGGATTTGCAGATCTTATTGGTTCAATGGATTTACTTTAAGGCAGTGGTTCTCAACCAGTGGGTCCTCAGGCGTTTTGGCCTTCAACTCCCAGAAATCCCAGCCAGTTTACCAGCTGTTAGGATTTTATGGGAGTTGAAGGCCAAAACACCTGGAGACCCACAGATTGAGAACCACTGCTTTAAGGAGTGGCACAGTGGGTTAAAGCACTGAGCTGCTGAGCTTGTTGATCGAAAGGTCGCAGGTTCGATTCCGGGGAGCGGCGTGAGCTTCCGCTGTCAGCCCTAGCTTCTGCCAACCTAGCAGTTCGAAAACACGCAAATGTGAGTAGATCAATAGGTACCGCTCTGGCAGGAAGATAACGGTGCTCCATGCAGTCATGCCGGCCACATGACCTTGGAGGTGTCTACGGACAACGCTGGCTCTTCGGCTTAGAAATGGAGATGAGCACCACACCCCAGAGTCAGACATGACTGGACTTAATGTCAGGGGACTACCTTTACCTTTACCTTTAACAATTATATTTATTTTATTTATTAAAGCCACCTGAACAATATCTACATTTCACATCTGTTCATATCTGAAAAAAGCTCAAGACTGTCCTGATATACAGGCCCCAACTGTTCCTAGTTTCTTCTTAAAATT